AGAAATAATATACATAAATGTAACATAATTAATTTAATAAATTAATCAATAATTTAATGCAGAGAGAAAATGATTAATATTTTTTAAAAATCTTTCTGCCTTTCTTTCAATTTTTTTTTTGCCTGTGTTTCTAGATTATTACACACAGAACTTTAGGACATTCTTCAATAAAGCCCCATAAATATATCAAGACATGATCTTTTACGATCAGTCACAGTTTAAAGCACTGTTATATATCGTCAGTAAATAGTTACTTCACAATATCTGTTTATTTCATCAAATTATTTTGTAGAAATCAAAATATCAAGAATTCTCTAAAACAATTGTTTATCCAAAACAAATTTATTATAATTTCGCATAAGAATATCTTTATAAATTTATTTGCATAATATATCCAAGGAAATATTCATAATTTCATATTATTTCTTATAAATTCCTCGTTAATTGGCATGTACAGAAGTTTACGATTTACTTCGGTAATGTGGAAGAAAATATCATTCATTTGATGATTATGATAGGAATCCATAATATCAAAAGAAAATATTCTGTCTCTCTCTCTTTTGATTTATTTAATTCCTCTAATAATTTAATAAGAAAATAGTGCAAATTTAACTGCGATTTTGCATGAATCTTTATTTACGTAAAATATCTGGTTCCAAAGAAACATACGTATTTTCGTTATCATATTCTATATCATATTTTCTCAGTTTACGCGTTTACTGTGCGATCATATAAGAAAAGTATCACCGATATAGATTATTGATAACACGCGTTTGATACATATCAAAAGGAAAGGAATATACCAAAGATAACCATGATAGTGGAACTCTAGTGGTTGTAAATCTTTTGTCACTTTTTATCTCAAAACCACAGATTTCTATATATTATACTTATTGTTAGACTGCTAACAACGAGGTGATAGGTGAAGCCAGGGCAGCCACTTACAATTGGGTAGAATATATGTACATGTTGGATTAATACACACTTACATTCTTACACTTACATATACACTATACATTTCCAATCTGCCCAATTGTAATAAATGGCTGCCATATGTCACCATATGAGATATAGCCGTGTTAGCAGTCTAGATATAATATTATACATATTATACAATATTATATATATATATAGAAGTACATGTAATAGAAGTCTGTGTTCAAAATCCATATAGCACAGGTCATTGCAGCAACATGACGGGGATGTTCTATGCTGTATAGGATTGCTCAAGAAAAATGGCATAATACAAATAGCTTATATCAGTCGTGTTTTCTTAAATAAAGATTTACGATTATCTTTATTTATAATAAAAAAAAATTTCTCTTTATAGCCATAGATATATTATGTTTTTATCTCTTAATTGATATTTTTTCATAAAAAATATAAAAAGGGTGTCTTATTGCAAAAAATAATGAATAAAATATTAAAAAAACGGTGTCAACGTGGATATAAATCTAAATCAGTATGGTCACAATGTAATCTCTATTTTCAATTTTCCCTTTTGCAATTTTTATTCATAGTATGAAAGAATTAATACATATGTAATTTATTTTCTCTCTCTCTCTCTCTCTTTCTCTTTGAAAAAGAGTTTCCGAAACTTTTAGTGTCCTATTACAAAATAATAAAAAAGTTTCATTTGTATTTTTCATCTCCGTTTTTTATTATATTGTAATAGGATACTAAAAGTTTCGGAAACTCTTTTTCAAAGAGAAAGAGAGAGAGAGAGAGAGAAAATAAATTACATATGTATTAATTCTTTCATACTATGAATAAAAATTGCAAAAGGGAAAATTGAAAATAGAGATTACATTGTGACCATACTGATTTAGATTTATATCCACGTTGACACCGTTTTTTTAATATTTTATTCATTATTTTTTGCAATAAGACACCCTTTTTATATTTTTTATGAAAAAATATCAATTAAGAGATAAAAACATAATATATCTATGGCTATAAAGAGAAATTTTTTTTTTATTATAAATAAAGATAATCGTAAATCTTTATTTAAGAAAACACGACTGATATAAGCTATTTGTATTATGCCATTTTTCTTGAGCAATCCTATACAGCATAGAACATCCCCGTCATGTTGCTGCAATGACCTGTGCTATATGGATTTTGAACACAGACTTCTATTACATGTACTTCTATATATATATATATATTATTTTGTATAATATATATAATATTATATCT